TTGTGCCCCAACAGCCAGGGACCAACACGACATGGGAGCTGGTCATGGCAGTCCCTCCCCAACAGTCCCGGGCTCAGCTTTCCTTCATGGCTTGCTGTACATGGGAACCCACACAGGGATGAAACCAGAAATAAGGTGGTCTTCATGATGGTAGAAGAGGACCTGCATGGAGCACCTCACATCCACCTGGATATGGTCCAGGGGAGCGGGCAGCAGTCTGAAAGGCATTCCAGGAGATCCAGCTGTAGTCAGGAACTGTGTAATCTTTCGCTATAGGTGATTTTGCAAGCAATTATATAATTACTGCTTTCAGGATTGGCATAAAAGCACCATAGAACTGTGCCAAACTGAGCTCAAGACTTCAAAATTCTTGGAAACCTTTGATAGAGACAAGAGGTGGGACAGGTTCATGTCTGCAGTGCTTGTAGGAGACTCAGTGACAGAGGCTCAATTTTCTACTCTGCTGCAGATTTCCTGGATGGGACCAAATATACCATTTATCTCCCTTTCCAAAATGGAAATAACTTATTTCTATTAATTTGCAGCAGCACCATGAGCTGCTGCAGGCAGCTGTGTGTTGCCCAGTACAGCAGGGTGTCTAGCCCCATTAAAATAAAAACCCCAGCATTAGTAAGTGTTGCCAATTCAGGGCTCATATGACATGCTCAGACTCTGAAAATTCCTAAGAAATTCAGCAAAGTACAGGGCTCTGTCTTGCACTGACAGTATATTTTGTTTAAAACCTATTATAGACAGATAAATAGATATTACAAAATATACGTTAGATATACATATATACACACACACAGGACTTTAAAGCATTTCTGTTACATTTCTTCTCTAAGTGCTATTGTTTTTCCTATGCAACTTCAAACCCTGAACCAGGTATTTTAAAGCAATGAAATTATGACCAAAGGTATAAATACGTCTTAGCCTACCAGTGACTGACAACATGAGCTCCATTTTCATGCTTTATAACACCACCTGAATCACTAAATATATTTCTGTTCTTGTAAGACAGCATTCCACATAACTTTTATTTGTGAATAAAAGCAGAAAGATGCACACACATTGCTGAAATCAGGAATAAATTATTTTGGCAGAGCCCATTACTCTGGGAAGTAGTCTGAATACCAAGCTGGCAACATAAATATAGACCAAGACTAACGCTAGTCTGTCACCAGCATTTGCAGCACTTGTCCCAGACTCCCACATTACCTCTGCTGAGCACAAGTCAAAGCACCAACAGTGTGAATCCTCCCATTGCTGCCCACAGGCCCTGGGTCCATCATCAAGGGGCTCACTCTGCTGCCACATGGAAAGCAGCAGCCTCACACCTGGGTTTCTACCCACCCACCCTCATCACAAGTCAGCTGCTGCTGCTGCATGTTGAGTTGTGCCAACACCCAAGAGACCCAGTGCCAGCACTCTCATTGCAAGCCTGGGCACACACAGCCCATGGGCACATCAAACAAGAAGCACTGGGGAGGGCTGGGGTCCCTTAGGGCTCCCTACAAGGAATGATTAATAGCAGACACTTCCCTGTGGGAGAGAGAGCACTCTGGTACTTTTTGAGAAACAATGGGCAGCAGTTGAAGAGGACAGCAGTGGAAAAATATTTTTTTCCATTTAAATATGCAGCTAGCAGTATTCTTTAAGAAATACTGAATGACAGTGAAGAGAATCATCAAAACATCTTTCAGTCACTTTGCTTTTGCATTAGATCCCCTCTTACTGAGGTCAGGGCTGCCACCAACCTGCCCAAAGCAGAAGTGAGAGGTGACTGCCACGCTGCCCACACCACCCAGCCATGCTCTGCCACCCTCATGTGCCAGCTCCCAGCTGGCCCAAGAGTACTGCACACCCCAACAGCAGCCCTGCTCAGACCCTCAGCCTGCCTCCAGCTCTCTCCCTGAGGTTTGGTGTAACCCCACAGGCTGCAGCTGAGCTGAGGGCTCCTTCCAGCCACACGTGTGCCAGGGATTCCCCAGCTTTAATCCTGCTGGGAGTGCTTGGTTTGCATGAACTTTGGGCTCAAAATGGATGATGTATTCAAGTGGCACCCAACAACATCAACTAGTGTTGGATGTACGGAGTCGGGGTCTCGTTGCCACACCTGCCCTGTAATCCACGTTCACCTTTCATTGAATATGAGAACAAACCTGTCTGATCTATATCTATCCCACCCAAGAGCAGACATGGAACGATCTCTGTTGGTGTCAGCCCTGTTTCAGCCATGACACTAAAGACCAAAAAAGCTGTAGGCAATACATGCAAGAGTATTTTCTGAGGTATATTTGACCATTAATTTCAAATGCTGCTCCGCTTCTGAGGATTATATAAATAATCATAGTGACCACATCTTTCCTGTCTATCCACTATTTAAATGCCTTTTTCACTCCAGTCTTCTCATCAGCAAAGCATACCTTCAGGGTATCCTCGTATTTCTAAATATTCCAGAAACTGCAGATGATTTACTCTCACAGTCCTAATGTAGCTCAATCCATTCTCATTTTCTATTTGTGACAGCAGTAGTTTGCTAAAGAACATCGGCTCCTATCAGTTCGTATCGTTCATGACAACTTTACAGTATCTGATATAATTTCTAATTTTTGTGCCTCGAATGGCAATGCGTATCCCAGCAGCTGCGTGTTCCAGGGAAGCGCGAAGGCACAGTCTGCATCCTGCCACCAGATGGTACTCCATATGGACACAGCAGAGGAGGACATACTGGTGCTGCATCACCAGTGGCAATCCAGGCCCTTCCCCCTCAACATATTCTCTCTAAAGGCTGTACGTGGTGTTGGGGATCGTATATCTCAAGTTCTCTGTTCATTTCTGCATCCTACAGAGACCCAAAATGTGGTGGAGGCCACTTTAGTTTTCTGCTTCAGGGAGCTGCAGGCAAGTGTGGCCACCCTATTTGTGTGCACTCTGTCCCAAGCTGCTGTTCTGAGCTTGCACTGTTTCTGCTCCACCCACAAGTTCCTGAGCACCATCAGGATAGCTATAAACTCCACGTGGAGATAGATGGCATTTCTCCAGGGTCACATGTGTCCCAGTATGGTTTGGAGGCCACAGACCAGCTGCCATTTGGGTGGAGCAGAAAATCCAAACCCTGCCTGCTGCCAGCCAGAGGAGATCCTGGCCACTGCTCATTCTGCCAGAGGAGAAGAGGGAATCCCAGGATACCAGCCACATCCCAATGTCTGTAATTACTTATTGACCTGAACATCTTCACTTGTACCTTCAGGTAGAAAATCTGTTTGACATTCTGGAGCAGAATCGTCCAGACAGGATGATTGGACTGTCACCAAGGAGATTATTTTTCACTGAAGTAACATACCCATCCCTGCATGAGCTATGGATCTGAGAAACCTGTTATTGGAAGTTCCTCAGTACACCTCCTCAATGGATATTCACTCCCATGCACAGGCACTGGATGAGTTTTTATTTTCATACACAAACACTTGTACACACATGTTTCTTTCAAAGCCTGAGCACAAAACACAACCCATATCCCTATTTCTCCACTTCCCTGTGGCTGATGGCACCAAACACAAAGGAATATCACCCAAGTATGTGCCTGGAGACTGGACTCAGAAGAGGAGTATGTCTACTTTTTCACTGCATGAGGAAATGGAACATCTTCTGAATCACCAACCCCAGCAAAGCCTGTTAATATATATGTTAATAATAATATATGTACATAGATGAGCTTTCCTTTAGAGCAAATTCCAACGTTCATTTGTGGTATGTCCAGCATCAAGTGATCCATAATCCTGACTCAGGGCCCCAAAATGCTTGAGTTCAGCTAAATAATTATAAAGAAAATAAATACTGGGCTCTTATTCCCTTTCCTATTCCTGAACACAGAGGATGCACTATCTTCTCATGTACAAGAGTTCACATGTGAGCCCATCTGCATGTGTTTGTTGTGGTCATGCAGGATCTGGGCGTGCAGCAGCACCTCATAGCTGGGGCAGCAGCTCTGACCCCTCTGCAAGTGGCTGCTTCAGTGCCACGAGGAGAACACATCACCTGTTGCAGCAGCCAGGTCTGCTGTTGACCCTGTCCAAGACTGCTCTGCCTCCTGTTTCACTCACTGACACCCGATGAGTTGCCAAGACAACACAAGTCCGGAAGGGATGCCCAATCCTCTCTGAGGGGCTGAGGAAGGGGAAGAGCCAGGCACATGCCTGAACAAGTGCTCGCTCCCTAAACCTCCCCTGCTAGAGAAACTGCTGAGACTCTGCAGCCTGAAATCCCACTGGGCAGCAAAACAGCCTGACGACTCAGCACCGACTCAGAACAGCTTCCCCAGGAAAAGGAGCTCCCAAACTCAGCACCGTGGTCCTGTGATTCCCACCATCCCCTGAGTGTAGAGGGAGACAACCAGTCATTAGGTCCCCTTTGATCTTTTCCAGAATAAAAGGCTAAAAAAGAACAGATTGTTTTCTTAAAATGGAAGGGGGAGGGGGGAAGGAGAGAGGGCAAGAAGGAGCAAAATTGGCCTGCTAAGTTCATCTCAACCATAAGAAAAAGTCTTTTTAACTTCTCTTAATGAGGACTACTTTTTTCCAGATACTACCTAATTATTGCAAATTGCTTCATCTTTTAATTGTTACTGCGAGGCAACTAAACATTGTTACGTTGATTGCTCAAGAGTGGATTGTTAATGGTTTTAATCATTTGATAATCCAGTAATACAATCAATGTAACTCTGCACCTTGTAGGAATAATTTTTAGATCCACATGCTTGGAAACATATCTTCCTTTACCATATGTCAGCCTCCATGGGCCAGATCCTGCCAGCCTTCCCCAAGTGCAGCTGTACTCTCACACACGACTAGTCCCACATATCTCTGTGGGAACACCCAAATAGCATGGACTCATTTTATCTAGGTTTGGTCAAACTGGGCAGGCAAAGGGGAAGCCTGTAGGTTTGGTTCTGCGTTGCAGATGGGTGATCTCTTGTTGTGAGAGAGGGACCATCTTACCTTTCTGCCTCTTGTCTCAATGTTGCTTGGGATTGATCTTGGTAGCTGAGGTCTGATGTATCTGGATCCATGGCATCTCTGCAGCCTTGTTCCAAAGCAGTCAGACCACTGCTGTATTCTGCAAGGAGTCCCAAAGAAGAGAACCAGACTGTCAGGAGACACAGCTCTCACATGATGTAAAAATAACAGTGTTTGTCTCAAGTAGTATTTAGCCTCACTAACTGAACCTCAACCCCCTCAGCTTTAAGGCCCTTTATAATTTTGCTAGCAGAAGCTGTTGGTTCCCTGAAGTCCGATGGTCCCACAGTTGGGGGAAGAGATGCTTCTGCCCCATAGGCCAGGGACTTTGGACATGTCACTCTCAGTCAGATTTTTCAGCTTCAAACTGAGTGCTTTTGGAAGCTCAATTGTCCACTGGGGGTGCAGCATTGTACAGGTGGGACAGGACAGGCCATCCCATCCCCTCACTTCGGTTCATCCCCGCATGCAACCAGGAGTGGTTCTCACTGGAAATCACAGGGGGAGTCCCCAAAATGCATCTTTGAGGCATAAGAAACAGCACTGGAGGTTGAATTCCTTCAGAGTTGCTGGGAGAGAGGGGAGGAGGAGCATCGCCTGACAGGCTCAGTCAAAAAAGTCAGTTCTGACAGACAGCAAGGAGACTAATGAACTAAAGAGTTGCTTTGATTTAGTCTTCAAGGAAAAGGAGACAATTAAGAGACTGTGTAATTCAATAACAGTTAGCAGGAAAAGGAGCTGTCACAGGCAGAAGAAGGACTGCCAGAGCACAGACACCCTGCAGAGGAACAGAGCAGTGGGACACAGCCATGCACAGCCCTAGGGCTGGAAGGACCTGTGTGAGACCTCTGGACTGTCCCCAGCACCTTGGGGAGGATGAGAGAAGGTGAGGGGGAAAACATCCTGTCTCTCAGGACAGCAAGGGGAAATTGGGAAAACCACAGATCTTTTAACATTAGATAAAATGAAAGGGCATTAAATGAATCATGCAGGGGAGTACCCACTGACCAACTAAAGAGATGAAAGTCAGGCAAGCCCCATCCAGGCAAAGGGGGTCAGAGCAATTTATCCCCAACTTTTCTAAAAAGGCCTTAAGAGCAGTAGGATCCATTTTTATTAGAGCTTCATTTTCTCACTTGCAGGGAACATGTTTGCCATCAGTGGTCAAGGACACGCTGATGCTCACTAGCCAAGGATCCATGGTGTCAGTCAGGACCAAAACTGAGCCTTCTCTGTCAATGTCAAATGGAGCAGTACCAGGTCCTGGCAGCAGCAACCACCTAAAACAGGCGTGTGAAATGCAAGCTGGTTCTGGCAGTCAGAAGCATGTAACTGAATTAGTGAGATTTTTTTTTCTCTGTCACCTCTCCCTTTACTTAAAGGCAACTTCTATCCCCAACAGAGCGAGGAAAACCTGCTAAAGATAAGCTCTTTTGTGGAGCAGAACATCTGGTAGGGAGGCAAGAACACCCAGGGGCTGGAACAGCCACAGAAGGTGTGAGATGCTGCCACCCACCCTGGCGTAGGGGACTTGACCCGTGGGGTTATCCCCTCAGTCCAGGCAACAATCTCATTGCCTGACACTAGCTTAGCACAGCCCTTGCCTCTGCAAACTGCCCATCTTTATGCTCACAATTAAACCAAGTCCACAGGACTCTGAGCAAGCTGCTTGCTGATGAGCCTTCCCTGAGCAGGACCAGAGAGATGCTGAGCACAACCACGATTTTACAAATCCAAGCCCCAGTCTGGCCAGGTTGTTGGGCAGAAAAGCTCTGGAGTCTCATTACATGATCAAGGCCTTGAAGAAGTCCTTCTGACAGTGCAAATGTGATATTTTAACTTTAGATTTTACACAAATTCTGCTCATTGTTATTGGCAGCTCATCAACAGAGAAGGGCTCAGAGACCATCGTGTCAGATACTATATCTATCACTAGGAAGATCCTCAGGTGGGTGGTTGGAACTACACAGATCATAATTTTTATTACCAAAACATTATATGGCTACTTACATAGTGTAAATGAGATGAACTACAAGAGCAGAGATGTACTGCTGATTAAAAATACATGTGCAAGTACCTCAACAGTTCAGAGTCCAGTGGGCAGAAATGTTAAGTGGGGTCCCACTGAGTGTCCTGCAAGGTCAATATGATTCAATAGTTTTATTAACAACTTGGAAACCAGACGAAGGGTATGCTAATGAAATCTAAGCATTTTACCAGGATGGGAGGGTAGCAAATAATTTGCAAGACAGAAATAAAATGCAATACAAGCTTGATGAATTAAAGAAGTGGCCTGCAATCAATACAAAGAGATTCAGCAGGACAAATGCAGAAGATTAACACATAGCAAGGAATAAACAAAAGGACAGAGGCTGTATGGAGATATCTGGCCAAACAGCTATACAACAGAGAGTGGTCTGGGGGAATGATCGATTGAACAGAAGTCAATAACACCAGGCTGCTGCAACCCGGAAAGGTAATTATTCTGCTCTTCCCCCAGTGCTCGTCAGGCTCCTGTTTGAAGCAGCACACCCATATCTGGGCATCACATTGTAACAAAGACAGACAAGCCAGAAGGAGTTCAAAGGACAGCAAAAAAATACCAAAAGAACTGGAAAACAAAAACCTTTGTGTGCATATGAGAAATGAACTGCAAGTGAGGGGCCTGACTCTGCTTTTCCTGTCCCTGCTGTTCCCAGGACCCTACTGAGGTGCAGCCCCGAGAAACTGAGGCTGGTCTCAGGCACAGCATGGGGAGAGACTTGTTAAACAACAGGATGCTACAGATGGACTAAAGGGATGCAACATAGATGCTGGGGTTAATTAGGGCTCACTTTGCCCTTGGTGAAATTGCAGCATTGGGCCAAAGCTCCAGCAGGGAAAATTTAGGGGATATTTAACTCTGTAGCGTTTCTGAAAATTCAGGCAATGAAAGCAATGAAATACCAGAACCCTCCTCTTGCACGGAGCTGACACCAACCAGACCACCACCAAAAAAAAAGAAGAAGAAAAAAAAAAAGACCCAGGGTCCAGAGAAGTCTCCAGTTGGAAATGTTCCACCTACCTCCATGCCACATCTGAAACAAGCCCCATCACACTCAGCCCCTACAGACCCTCCTGAGAAGGGGAAATTTGGATGCTGCAGAAAGCCCAGGGCACCCAGGAGCCCCACATAAACTCAGGACTGAGGGTCAACTATCCCCCACAGCAGTAATGCACCACACATACAGCACTCCCACTGCTATCAGACCTGCTGCAATTAAAGCAGAAACGAGCTCTCCACCCTTTGGTGATGGCTCAGAACTGTCAGAAATCAAACCTACTTGGCTGCAGCTGGAGCAAGGACCCATCGGAGCTCCCTCCGCCCCAGCACTGAGAACTGGAGGAGGGAGCAGGAGCTGGAGGAAGGCAGAGCCTGGAGAGGAGCCAGAGCATCGCTCAGTGCTCCAGCATGGAGACAGAGGTCTGCAACTCTGCAGCACAGTGTGCAGACTCCTGCCAAAAGCCCAATTGCACCATCTGCCAAATTAATATTCCTATTTTTAATATCTCGTTTAAAGGGAAACATTAAGGGGAAAAAGGAGAGAAAAATAGAACACCACCTCACTGATTAGATTTGTAAGCTCTGTAAGGAATCACACCAGACATTGGGTCTGCTTCTCTCCTGTCCTCCTGTGATCAATCCTCTCTCCAGAGGTGCAGGGCTGGCGGGTCGAACACAGGGAAATGCACCACTGAACACCATGCTGCTGCTGCCACTGCCACTTAGTGAGGAAAGCAGAGCAGGGAGACTTGAGGAGATGAATCAACATGGTTCATTTCTCTGTGAGGAGCTCTTGCCCTGTCCTATTTCCATCCTGGAAGCAGCCCCTGCAACCTTGCTTCTCCTGGAAGGCACGTAGGAATTGCACTCTGAACATGAAAGAGAAAGGGGTGAAAAGTGGAGGGGAGAGAGAAAGAAGGATGGAAAATCCCTTCGGTGAACAGAAATGGAACACACAAGCCATGTGTCAGGGAGGAGACAGCCTGTGGAGTGGGCAGCAGTGCCTGATGCTGAATTAGCAGGGGAGCACAAACAAGAGGCAGATGCTGGGAGCCACGGCAGCGTTATCAACTGCTGCCGAGCTGGGGCAGGGGCTGATCCTGGCTCCCAGCCAGCCACAGGGTCCCCCTTCCAAGAGTGGCACCTCCTGAGGCTCGCCCAAACAGCTCCCGGGCTGAACGGCAGCCCCCACTGCTGATGCTAATGGAATTAAACATTAATATGCTAAACTGAATGAAGAGTGAGAGAGGGGCTTGGATTTCTCTAGGTAGCAGACATGTCTGAGGTTAATGCCTGCCAATTCTTATTTGCTCTGCGATGTCAAAATCCATGTCCTTATTAGCCAGCCCATTAGTCCCCCGAGGCCAGTAGCCCATTAGTTCTGTCCTGGTCCTTGCCAGCACTTATTGCTCTCAAAGAGATTCACTCTCGCCGCCAGGCAGAGTGTTTATAGCTGACCTGTTCCCACCTGGCATCCCTGACTGGGAGCCCTTGCAGGGGCCCAGCCTGGGGTGTTACAAAGCCACCCTCAAACAAAGTGCTCGGGGAGTGCTGGTTTTACCTCTGCTGCCCTGGTTTGGTACTGAGCAGGGTCATCCTGCATGGTCTTTGGGATCTGAAAGGTGAGATGGGCTTCCTCACCTTCCTCTTCCTCCTCCAAAACATTTTGGGTCTGCTCTGATTCTCTCATCCTTGATTTGACATTATGGATATTATGAGACAGGAAACTTGTCTTCTGTTTGCCTATAAAACACCACTTTGTACATAATTAATACTAATAATTAGCAGGCATAACTATTAGAGACAAAAGATCACAAACCTCATTAGGCTGTCAGTCCCTTAAGCTCAGCAACTGTTGTGTGTATGGACATGGGTGCAGTGAGGGATCTCCAGCCATGGCTCCCACCGACTGGGAGCTGAGAGCACCACAGACTGAGTACTTTGCACCAGCACAAAGTTTGACCTCTTCACTCTCACCACTGTAAATAGAGACTTGCTGTCAATAGGTTGTGAAGCACTTCTCTACTGACACCTGGATTATCATCCCTGTCTTACAG